ATAAGGGCACTAAATACAGTCAGTTAAACACATGAGCTCCTTCTTGCTTCAGAACAGTCGACTACCAATCATACACCCTGTTGAAGACTCACCTGGGCTGGGAGAATCTGAGTGGAAAGAAGTTGCATTCCCCGTTGGAGAGGAGAATTGGGCTGAAGCATAGGCGCATACTCTGCAGTGCTCCATCATGGTGGGTTAAAGACTTGAAGGAAAACCACAAAGTCTCTTTTCCACTCTCAGGCCAATTTCGTCTTCTCTTTCTGCACGGTGAACGAACTGCATCTCTATTTGTAAGTGTAGTTTTGTTCATGTCCCTTTTATTAAATTCAGTGCACTATAATATCTGAATATGTCTGGTGTTTGTAGCTGTAATCACAGGCTCCAGAACATGTGCATTAGGGAATTTGATGCTTAGATACAAAGATGTTGCTGAAATCACAAGGTTCAGAGTGGGCTCAATGGCAACTTGACTCAACTGGATCCTTCTAAGTTTATCCATTACACGAGTATGAGAAATGTGAGCTTTATGGTGTTCCTGAGAAACCCTTCACATGCATGCAGAAAATGACTGTCGAAAAAAGAGGCTTGTAGATACACCCAGTTTCTTACCAGTGTCTGTCTTCTTCGGAAACACTGTGATTCTTATAGTTTAACCTCAGAAAAATATCTAGGCCCCATGCTCAGCCTCTCCTGCTACTAGATGACAGCACATGATTTGGTGCTGACAAATACGAGGTAGATGAATTTTTTGCAAACACTCCCTGGATTTTAGGGGAAAGCTCACATACCCAAGATACTGTACACGCCCCTTTGGGGCATTTGGGGCAGGGACAGGGGTACATGGGACAGGTGAAATGAAAGGGAAGGGGAAAGTAAATCTCTCTCTTGGATCCTGGCTGCAGCTCGGAGATGATAGAGTGCTTCCCTTGTAAGTGAATCTTACAATCTCTCTCCTTGGATGCTGGCCACATTTCGGGGAGCTTCCCAGCTTCCCATGTAAGTTACTTCTTTCTATCAGAATAAATATCCTACTGCCTTTTCCAGGCATTCTTGGTGTGAGTTGTTGACCATCCACATAAGGTGTGAGGAGGGATTCACCCAGCCCCCAAAACTCAAGTTTGGTGAGGCAAGCCCCCCCTCAGTGTCCCTAAAAGGGGCAACCTCATTTATGCTTGCATCTTTGTGCCCTCCACCCTGTCGTCCTGCTTAGCTGCACAGCTCCCTCAATCCCCGCAGAGATTTGGAACATCCAGAATTGAGCACCCTGAAGAGCTGCCTAATTCATCTGTAGCTGCAGCGCAGCAGTTTCGTTTTTTTCTGCCAGTTCCCGATTTGGAGCGATTCTAGTTCCCGTCTCTGAGCTGCATGCCTCAATACCATCATGCAAAACTGTGGTTTCCCTCGGCTCTGTGCACCCCACCTGCCTGCCAACCCTGAGCACAAAAACAACGCAGTCGCAGCCACTTCCCCTGTGCTCACTTGGCTTGCCCTGCTTCCTCTGCTGGCACAGAACCATGCACACTTCACCAGGAAGCCGGGCCGTGTGACTTGCATTCCCTGTTGGGCCTGAAAATTTTTGCAGCTGTTTTCTAGCCAAGGGTCTCCCAGTCTGCACAGACTTTTCCCTCCCCAAATCTGTTTGCTAATTTTCTGTACAAGCTGCTTAGGATCTTTCAGCTGTTACTTGGAAATATACTGAGGTTTCACGGCTTATCTGTTTGGCGGTACACCTCCACCACCTTCTGGACAAGCCCAGTAACTACAGGTAAAATTCCTCTCATCAATCCAAATTTTTACAGGTGAATTTTATAACACAGTACTTAAAAATTGGTGGTAAGCATACCTATTTATGCCAGGTGGTGGTGACACAAACCTTTAATCTCAACACTCGGAAAGCAGAGGCAGGCAGATCTCTGTGAGTTTGAGACCAGCCTGGTCTACAAAAACTACTTCCAGGACAGCCTCCAAAGCCTCAGAGAAATCCTGTCTGAGAAAAAAAGAATACTTATTTATACCATGGCAGATAATTTAACTATGCAGAATGTTAGAGATCTTTTTGCCAATGTCATGGATTCAAATGTATTTGTGTCTAATGCTAACGGTCAGCTTCATATTCCATATAATAGCATGGAAGAAATATGTTAATGCCAGGGTGGAAAACAGGGAAATTGAGCACATGATGGAAAAATTAGAGTAAAAAATTCAGAACCTTCAGGAAAAGGAGGAATTGGCTGCCAGAGCAGATAGCTTGGAACTTAAATAGAACAAACAACCTTCAAGACACGATTGATTTCATACCCATTGTATTTATGGCCAAAATAGAGTCCAGTCAGGAGGAAGCTGATTTTTTTCTATTTCTTTGAAGAATTACACTGAAATTTTGACAAAGATTGTATTAAATCTATAGATTCATTTTGGCAGTATTAACATTTTCACAATATTAATTATTCCAACTCTTGAGTATGATCAACCCTTTCATCTTCTGTTTCCTTCAGTTTCTTTCTCTGTTTTGCAATTTTCATTGTAGAGTTCTTTTATTTTCTTGGATAGCTTTATTCCAACGCATTTATCTCACTGATCCTGTAGCTGCCTTTTCCACTAGAGTGACTGGCCAGAGAGGCCCTAGTGTCTACTGCCTCCCTTTCCCTCCATTTCTGGAATACAGATGTGCACCACTGAACTTGGGTTTGATATGGACACGTGATTGGCAGGCGCTATATCCACCACCCCAAACCCATCTTCCCAACCTGATATTCACATTTTTAGAACAGATTAATTTTATTTTGATTTGTGTGTGAGATATGTGTTTGTATGGAAGTGTGCACATGTGAGTGCAGTACCTGTGGAGGCCAGAAGAGGGCATTGGATCCCCCAGAGTTGGAATCACAGGCTGCTCTGAACTGCCTGGTGTGGACGCTGGGATTCAAACTCTGGTTTTCTAGAAGAGCACTATGTGACCTTAACCCCTGAGCCAGTTCTTCAACTCATTTTCACCTTTTTTTGTTGTTGCTGTTTGTTTGGTTTTGTTTGTCATGACCAGGCTGGCCTGAAATCACAAATATTCACCTGCCTCTGCCTCCCGAGTGTTGGAATTAAAGGCATGTGCCACAACTGCCTGGCCCACCTTTTATTATTTTTTTAATGGCTGAAGAATTCAGGAGAATAATGTTAGTATAGCTTCACACATGAAAATTATATGTAATTCAAAATTCAGTGCTCATCAAATTTTATGAACACATAGTCTCTTGATCATAGAGGCTTTTGCCTGCATGTGTTGTTGAGTGGCTATGCTGTCCACTATACAGTCTTACAAGCCCAAGATACTCTTCTGGCTCTTTTTATCACTGATCTTAGACTTTCTGTTTCCTGTGTTTCTTTACTGCTGACCTTGTGTTCTCTGGGGTGAGACCCACACTGTTCATATAACCTCTTCACTCAGTTCCCCACTCATGCCCAAACCTCTTGACGTCATTCTCTTCTTTACCTTCAAAACACCCTGCTTCATACACACTGACATTTTTCTTTTTGGGGGTTGCAGAGATTATGGAGACCTTACTTTCATATATATGAAACAATCTTATTTTACATATCAATCCCAGTTTCCTCTCCCTCCAATCCTCTCATGTTCCCACTAAACCCCTCTCCCTGCTACACCCCCCCATCCACTCCCCAGGGAGAGTGAGGGCTTCCATGGGGATCATCAAAATCTGTCACATCATTTGGGGCAGGGCCTAGGCCCTTCCCCGTGTATCTAGGCTGAGAGAGTAACCCTCCATGGGTTCTCAAAGTCCATTCATGGTTCCACTGTTAGAGGCCCCATAGACTTCCCTGACCTCCTAACTGACATCCATGTTCGGGGGCTTGGTTAGGTCCTATGCTGGTTCCCCAGCTGTCAGATTGGGGTCCTTGAGCTCCCACTTGTTCAGGAGACTTGATTTTCACAGCCTCTTTATTCTCTTGCTTCTGTTTTAATTCTCCTGTCTTACTTCTAACTTCTCCTAGCTTCTTCTCCTCGATTCTTCTCTCTCTAGTCTCAAAACTGTATTTCTACCAGGGAACTTGAAGCAATAAAGAAAATACAAAAGCTTCCTCTCATTGGTCAAAAGCACATTCCTGGGGAAAGGGATAGGGAGTTGATCTATTGCCATGACAACACAAAGGTCCAAGGTTACAGAAGTGAGACCATGACCAGAGGGGGAAGCTACAGTGAAATGAGCTTTGAGACATAAACAGGTCTCTTGTTAACAAGACTGGCAAGTGAAGAATTGGAATGCTTTTCTTAGTAAACTTGGTTGGACATCTATGACTCTGATCCTGAGCAAGCTGTAAAGTTTTTAGCTTATGTTCTACTTAGTCTGGTTTCAATCTGTGTTGAGGAAAAAGTGAGATAATCATGTGTGGTCAATCTGAGTCAAAAGGAACAAAGCAGGTTTTTAAGCATCTATAGTCCTCATGGGACAAATAGATCTAGTTATGAAGCATGCCCTAGTATATATTCTACATATCAAAACTATACATCTAAATGAAAAGTCATCTAACTACCCACATATATATACCCATAAAATTGAGATGCAATCATGAAATTAACGTATGTACATCACACACACTACAAAGGAGGTACTGGGGAGACATCAAGCTGCCTTAGCAAAAGCGATCAAGTTTCCAGAGTCAATGGTCCTGCAGGCCTTGTCTGCACAGGATTAACCGTTGCCAGAGTTTCTCTTGTCCTGCCAGGTTCTGCTGCAGCTTCAGCCCCAAATAAACACACAGACGCAATATTAGTCATAAAATTATTGGCTGGTGGCTAGGGCTTCTTTTTGGCTAGCTCTCTCTTAATTATTAGCCCTAACTACTAATCTATGTGTTTCTACATGGCCTTATCTTACCAGAGAACACCTGGAGCAACCGTTCTTCCCTATGTCTGCTTGCAGTCTCTCTCTGCCTACCTTTCTCTGAATTCCCCTCATATCTGCTAGTCCTGCCTATCTTCCTGCTTCTACTGGCCAAACAGAGTTTTGTTTATCAACCAATAAGAGAAGCATACATACAGAAGGACATCCCCCAACAATTAACCTCCATCAGATAACCATTCCTCTGGTGGGTTGAAATCTGAACACTAGTTGTCACCTGCTGTAACTCTCACAGCCCCTGGCAATTTACATAATGTTACTTAGAAGAAAACTGGCGAGTTTGACTCGAGGGAATCAATGAGAGTGGAACTGAGATGCCCAGCATGGACAGAGATGGTGAACACTGGGGGAGGGAGCTGATGGTGGAAATCCCCTGAAAAGACTCAGTGCCCCTGGGCAATACACAAGTTAATTAAAATGACAATAAATATCAAACGGCACACAATAAGAAGGGTGGCTGCTGTGATGTTGGAGCCCATGCAGGTGTGGACTCTGCAAAGCATCTTAGCCACCCAGCTGCCCTCGAGCTCCTTCAGCTCCTGCTTCTGCCTCTCTACCTCCTGCCTCACCTTGGCCAGGTAGCACCTGTAGGCTTCCTGGCGCTCACTGCTGTTACTACTAAGGAACACAGAGGCATGAAGAAAGAGGTCATTGCTGTGGAAAGAGCCATTACACTCCTGCTCCAGCCTTCTCACCAGGACCATGAGCTCTGCCAGCTGCCCCTGCTGCTCTTCCCCAGAAGCCCTGTTATTAAAGGCCCAGTACCTCCTCGCACACTCCTGGACCAGGCTGCTCAGGTTGTGGTTGTCAGTGTGGGTCACAAACTCATGCAAGGTCTCATTTGCCATGTCTTCCTTGTGGGTGAAGAGGACAATCATCTGTCTCATGACTCCGGCCCCAAAGATCTCCTTCAACCTCCTCACAGCTATGGTGTCCTGGGCTGTGAAGCGTCCCAGCTGTGTCACCAGTAACAGTACATGGGGTGCTGGCACACACAGCAAGTAGCAGTCTCCAATGTCCTTTTCTTGGTTCTGGGCCTTTGATTCAAAGATGGGTGGCATGTCTACCACTAAGAAACTCCTTCCCTTCCATGTGCCCATCTCTGCCTGGCTGGTCCTGGTCACTGACTGGGCTCCAAGTCTGGACTCTAATGCTTGTCGGCAGAGGATGCTGTTCCCTGTGTCGCTTTTCCCACAGCCAGATTTGCCCACAATGAGTATCCTCAACTGGTAGGCTTCACCATTCCCTGTGGGTGAGAGAACATTTGTGCCTCACTTAGCAATTCTTCAGACTGTGATATCGTGGGTCCTTGCAGAGAGCTCCTGGTTCCCAGAGAAATGGGTGTCACTCAAATGTTCCCAACTGTTTGCCTATAATTTTATGTGGTTATTGTCTTTTATTAAGTCCCAGTTGGGAGCCCATCCTACAACTCACAGGCACGGGGTGGGATTGCCACAGGAGAGAGAGGCTCTGTTCCATCTGGACCACAACAATTATGTCATTTCTGAAGAAAATTTCCCTGTGCTCGCCCCTGGAGAATGCTCAGGACAGATCCCGGGTAAATTGGTTGTGAAATAAGTATGAGTTTAGAAGACAGCAGAGATGAGAAGTCATGAATGACAAAGTAGAGTCACAGCTTTTACCCACAGTGTTCCATGCACACTGTGTGAATGTGCTCAGCATATATCCCCCAGAGGTTATTTCAGGTGGAGGAGCTGCAGCCACTCACACTCAGAGACAGCTGGGTAGCCTAGGAATAAAGTGGGCACTGGGAAATGAGATGAGGGATGGTGACAGTTAAGTCTGGGAAATGACATGGAGTGGGCTGCTGAAGAAGGGTGGAAGAGAAGATGTTACGATCACTTAGAAGTAGACATGCTAGAAAGGCCAATGCTCAACTGCACCATCCCTGGGTCAAAGAAGAAATCAAAAAAAGAAATTAAAGACTTCCTCAATTTCAATGAGAATGAAGACACAACATACCCAAACCTATGGGACACTTTGAAAGCAGTGCTACGGGGGAAGTTCATAGCATTAAGTGCCCACATGAAAAAACTGGAGAACAGTCATACTAGAGAATTAATAGCACAGCTGAATGTTCTAGAACAAAAAGAAGCAAACTCACCCAGGAGGAGCAGACGCCAGGAAATAATCAAATTGAGGGCTGAAATCAATCAAGTAGAAACCAGGAAAACACTGAGAAGAATCAATGAAACAAAGAGGTGGTTCTCTGAGAAAATCAACAAAATAGATAATCCTCTGTCCAAACTAACTAAAAGACAGAGAGACAGCATGCTAATTAACAAAATCAGGGATGAAAAATGGGACATAACAACGGACTCTGAGGAAATCCAGAGAATCATTAGGGCATACTTTGAAAATCTGTACTCCACAAAATGTGAAAATTTAAAGGAAATGGACAATTTCCTGGATAGATATCACTTGCCAAAACTAAATCAAGAACAGATAAACAATCTAAACAGACCTATAACCCCTAATGAAATAGAAGCAGTCATCAAAAGTCTCCCAAACAAAAAAAAACCCAGGCCCAGATGGCTTCAGTGCAGAATTCTACCAGAAATTCAAAGAAGAGCTAATTCCAATACTCCTCAAAGTATTCCACACAATAGAAGCAGGAGGCTCACTGCCAAACTCTTTCTACGAGGCTACAATTACCTTGATAACCAAGCCACACAAAGACACAGCTAAGAAAGAGAACTATAGACCAATTTCCCTCATGAACATGGATGCAAAAATACTCAATAAAATACTAGGAAACTGGATTCAAGAACACATCAGAAAAATCATCCACCATGATCAAGTAGGCTTCATCCCAGGAATGCAGGGATGGTTCAACATTAGAAAATCTATCAATGTAATCCATGATATTAACAAACTGCGAAAGAAAAACCACATGATCATCTCACTAGATGCTGAAAAAGCCTTTGACAAAATCCAGCACCCCTTCATGATAAAGGTCCTAGAGAGATCAGGGATAACAGGAATATACCTGAATATAATAAAAGCAATATACGGTAAACCAACAGCTAACATCAAACTAAATGGAGAGAAACTCAAATCAATTCCTTTAAAATCAGGAACAAGACAAGGCTGTCCACTCTCTCCATATCTCTTCAATATTGTACTTGAAGTTCTAGCTACAGCAATAAGACAACAAAAGGAGATAAAGGGGATACAAATAGGAAAAGAAGAAGTCAAACTTTCACTATTTGCAGATGATATGATAGTTTACATAAGTGACCCAAAAAAACTCCGCAAGGTTACTCCTAGAGCTGATAAACACCTTCAGCAATGTGGTAGGATACAAGATAAACTCAAAAAAATCAGTGGCCCTATTATATACAGATGATGAAGTGACTGAGAAAGAAGTCAGAGAAACATCACCCTTTACAATAGCCAAAAACAGCATCAAATATCTGGGGATAATGTAAACCAAGGAAGTGAAAGGCCTGTATATCAAGAACTTTGTGTCCTTAAACAAAGAAATCAAAGAAGATACCAGAAAATGGAAAGATCTCCCATGCTCTTGGATTGGTAGGATCAACATAATAAAACTTGCCAAAAGCAGTCTACAGATTCAATGCAATCCCTATCAAAATTCCATCACAATTCTTCAAGGACCTGGAAAGAACATTAATCAACTTTATATGGAAAAACAAAAGGCCCAGGATAGCCAAAACAACCCTACACAATAAAGGAACTTCAGGAGGCATCACGATACCTGACTTCAAGCTCTGTTATACAGCTATAGTCCTGAAAACAGCTTGGTATTGGCACAAAAATAGGCAGATAGACCAATGGAACCGAATCGAAAGCCCTAATTTTAACCCACACACCTATGAACACTTGACTTTTGACAAAGAAGCTAAAACTGTACAATGGAAAAAAGACAGCATCTTCAACAAATGATGCTGGCATAACTGGGTACTGATATACAGAAGACTGCAGATAGATCCATGTTAATCACCTTGAACAAAATTTAAGTCCAAATGGATCAAAGATCTCAACATAAATCCAGCCACACTGAAACTTTTAGAAGAGAAAGTGGGAGATACTCTTCAACGAGTTGGTACAGGAGACCACTTCCTAAACATGACACCAGTGGCACAGGCACTGAAATCAACAATTAACAAATGGGACCTTCTGAAAATAAAAAGCTTCTATAAGGCAAAGGACACAGTCAAAAAGACAAAAAGGCAGGCCACAGAATGGGAAAAGATATTCACTAACCCTACATCTGACAGAGGGCTAATCTCCAAAATTTACAAAGAACTCAAGAAACAAGTCTCCAAAACACCAAAGGATCCAATTAAAAGGTGGGGTACAGAACTAAATAGAGAATTCTCAATAGAGGAGGCTAAAATGGCCAAGAGACACTTAAGAAAGTGCTCAACATCCTTAGCCATCAGGGAAATGCAAATCAAAACAACTCTGAGATACCATCTTACTCCTGTCAGAATGGCTAAAATCAAAAACACCGAAGACAATTTATGCTGGAGAGGATGTGGAGAGAGGGGAACACTCCTCCACTGCTGGTAGGAGTGTCGACTCATACAGCCTCTTTGGAAATCAGTATGGAGATTCCTCAGGAAAATGGGAATTAATCTACCACTAGACCCAGCAATTCCACTCTTAGGCATATATCCAAATGAGGCAAATTCATACAACAAGGGCATCTGCTCCACTATGTTCATAGCAGCATTATTTGTAATAGTCAGAACCTGGAAGCAACCTAGATGCCCCTCAACTGAACAGTGGATAGAGAAAATGTGGTACATTTACACAATGGAGTATTACTCAGCAGAAAAAAACAATGGAATCTTGAAATTCGCAGGTAAATGGATAGCACTGGAAGGAACCATCCTGAGTGAGGTAACCCAGTGGCAAAAGACAAACATGGTATGTACTCACTAATATATGGATTTTAGACATGGATCAGGATAGTTCCAGTCTGCACTTCCACTGAGAGAGAGTCTGGGAAACAGGAAAGAACCTAAAAGATATGTATATATGCATAGTAACCAAGAGAAGAGGATTGAGACAAGATCCTTGGAATGGATGGGGAACATGGCGAGGGGTCGGGGGAGTGAGAGCTGGGAAGAAGAGAGGGGGTGAAGAGGAAGAGACTTGGTCATGGGGAAACAGGAAGTTGAGTGGATGGGGGTAAAATAGGGGGAAGAGGGAATCATAGGATAGAAGACAGATCAGGCACCAGAGTGACCTCGAGTGATCTAAAGGGATAACACCAACTGGCAAGCTAAGCAATAATGGAGAGACCACCTCGAATGCCCATTCCTGATAATGAACTTGATGTCTATAACCATCCGGGAGCCTTCATCCTGTGAGTAATGGAAGCAGAGGCAAACACACAATTAATCACTGAACTGAACCCAAGGAACCCAGTGACAGAGAGAAAGGAGTGATGAGCAAATTGGCAAAGAATGGGCTGGCAAAACCAGCAGAGACAGCTGATCTGAACAGGGGAGAGCTCTTGGACCCCAGACCGACAGTGGCGAGGCCAGCATGGGACTGATCTGGACCCCCCAAATGTGAGTGTCAGCGAGAAGGCCTGGGCAACCTTTGGGGCCCTGAGCTGTGGATCAGTGTCTATCCCTGAAATACAAACAGTCATCGTGTGCCTATAGCACAAAGAGGGATGCTCTCTCAGCCTGAACTCTTAGGGAAGTGCCTGGACCCTACCCAGAGTAAAATGACAGACTCTAGATATCCCCTATGTGGAAGGATTTGGCAATAGGGTGGGAGGGTGGGGGGGAAGGGTAGTGCGGGAGGAGGGGAGGGAGAGGGAACTGGGATTGACATGTAAAACAAGCTATTTAAAATTAAAATAAAAAATGATATAAAATTTCAAAAAAAAAAGAAAGGCCATCTGTTTGCCAGGTGTGCTGGAGGGACCCCAGGAAGCCAAGAGCTCAAATCTCCAGCATAGAAAGACTGAGGATATGGTACTGGCTTATGATTCCAAATGAATACTAAGTGCACTATAGATTCCTAAGAATCTGTCATTTGTGGAAGCTGAGGGTGTGGCTCATAGTGGAGTGTCCATCCAGCAGGTGTGAGCTCAGGGCTCAATTCTCAGGATCACAGAAAACAAACCCATTAAAACCTGTTTTACTCCTTTTACTCTGTCTCTCCCTTGGTGTTCTGGGGTGTTTTGTAAGAAATAGTAACTTTAGGGGTTCTTTCTTTCTTTCTTTTTGTACAGTTGAGAGGAGATGAGGGGAGAAAGAGAAACCATGTCACTGTTCAGTTCCAGGCCTTTCGAACTCTGGATGTATTTTGGAGTCAAATTTCCCCACATTGTGTGGAGGATGTTGTCACTATGGAGTGTGTGGGGTGGGAGACGGGGTGTGAGTATGTGTGTGGGGGATGTGCCTGTGCACGTAATTGTGTGTTCACATGCATGTGAGCATGTGTGTATGCATGTGTGTGTTTGCAAGTATGTGTGTGTGCCTCTGTTGAGTGTGTGCACAGGTGGGGTGCACACATGTGAGCACATGTGTATGCACATGGACGCAAGAGATTTGGAGACATGGGGAACAAACAGCAGTGGCCTTATTCTTCTTGATCTTAACTGGATGTCTGACCCTGTTTTGACCCAAAACAGGTGGGATAAGGAACAGTGACTCCCATTCTTAATTACTTTAGGACCTCGTTATTTTCTTACCTTCAGCTATAGTTCCATATGTGCACTTCTCAAGGCCTTCCATTCTTTTCTGGAACCAAAACAGGAAAGGAAGTGAAATCAGGTCCCTGAGGGAACTGGTAAGACACTTTGACTCAGGTAACTCAGGATAACTCTCCTTGCATGACCATTTCCATAGCTAACTCTCCCACCTATGTTTTACTTTCAAACACCTAAGTAACTGGCTGGAGTGAGGCAGGGTCATCCCAGTACAATGTGCCATTGCTTTTCCTCGCTCATGGGAAAGCAGATGTTTCACTATAGGTGAACTGATGATCTCCACCAAGCTAGAAGTATAAATATGGGAAGCATTCTTCTATGAGCAAGAACTGGACTTAAAAAACTGAACCAAAGTAGGTGAACCTGCTGGGCTGTAAATAAAATTGGTTTGTTTCAAGCACTAGGCAGTTCCAGCATGGGGAAATGTCCTTGAGTTAAACAGGCAAATAAAACATGCTCTCCCTGGGTGGATGGAATGGAGGATGGCAACTCCTCAAGAACTGAGAGGAAGGAGGACAGGAGGACTGTCACGCCTTCTTCCCCGCACCTGGAGGAGTGGGGAAGACACTGTGGTACCATGATGGACAGAGTCAACACTCAAGACAAGATAAAACTCCCATGGGGGATTTAACCAAGCATCTTCCCTGGTTGGTTCTGAGGTTCTGCTCTACCGGATAATCATGGTTTTTGTATTTTAGTACATTCAACCAGAGACTGGAGCAACCATGGCATAAATATCCTGTTCAAAGTGGTGTAATGCTGTGTCACTGGTTTGGGTGTGATGAACAGGGCAGTATAATGTAGGGAGGGCTTAGCCTGTGAATCTAGTCATCCGAGCATAAACGCTTAGCTCATGTTGTGAGCTGTTTTTTTAAAAGCTTATCATTTTAAAACATATTTGGACTTTCATTTGTACATGAAAAAATGTAGAATTAAAAAAGATAAATCATAAAAATAAATTTAAAAACATAGAGTGAAAACAAGTAGCTACCATTTGCAATGAGGAAGCATAAACGGTTTGCTGTTCTACTACAGTTGCACCACCAGATTAAAAATTAAAACATCACAGATGTAATTCATGACTGTTGATTTTTTTCTCTCAATCTCCTGTCTCATTCTCCATTCTAGCCTTCACAGTATTTGCATGTGCATTTAGATATTTAGACAATTCTCAGTCCTGTTTTTGCATGTTAAATTTCTACATAAATATCATGTTGCAACAGCTAGTTTTTTTTTTATTCAGGGACATCCAAGTTGTTCTGTAATCATTTCTTTTCACAACAAAGAGTACGATAATCCTCATAGATACCTCTTGGCACTCCTGTTGAACAGTTCATCTAGGGTACACATTTTCTGCTAATCTGGATATGGCCAGGTTTAATTCTTGAGTAGGTCCGTCCAGTCAGCTCTTGCTTACCCCAGTATCCCAGGAGAACCTCCAAATCTCTATAAATGGCACACTGCATTTTTATTACACTTATGAACATAGGGCTGGCCATTACTGAATATAAAACATGGAATGGTTTGTGCGCTACTTATAGTGCTTCTGTTATTTTGTCTTTCACAATTTTATTTTGCAAAGAAATGGCTTTTCTTGGACTTCTTCATAAGAACACATCAATTCTTTTCACATATCAGAATGTCTAAAGGCACCTCCTCTCCCCTCCTCTGTCCCCTCTCTCTTTCTCTTTCCTGTTGTACTTGTCCATCTCCTCATCCCCCTCTTCTTCCCTACCCCGTTTTTCTCCCCCTTCTTCCCTTGCACCCAGAGAAGAGCAGCCCTTTCAAAGTCATCTCTTATGTACTGTTCTTATCACTGTAAGCTTCATCCTTGTTCTTAGGAAATTCATCAAGTCATAGATACTGTTTGCACTAATTGTTCAAGATCTGAATGTGAAGGATACAGTGTCAGTTTCAATGAAGCTGAACTTCCCCACTGTGACTGTCTTCTGCAGACACACATCATGTTCAGGATTTCTGCATGCCCTTTTTTTCTTGTGTTCCCTATGCTGTTATTTACAGGCCACTTTAAAATCACATGACCTGCCCACAGTCACACATTTGCCTTACAACTAACTCTCCCCAATGGCTCCTTTTGTCTGTGTTATCTCTTAGATTTCTCAGCCAGTGTGGAGTTGGGGGAGATCATTCCTAATGAATCAATAAGCCCCCTTCCTGGAACCCTATGCATGATGCTGCTGTCCCATGCTTTGGACATAAACTAGTGCTGATTGCTGAAAGTCCCTCCAAAACAACACAGAATTGCACTTCTATATCTAAGTTCATGTTTTCACAAAACAGAAATACCACCAAGTCCCCTCAAAAGAATTTCTCAAAGATAAGACCACATGGGGGTGTCTGTTCTATTTTGAAGGATTTCAGTTAGAGTCTGACTTGGTTCTCAGTGTGTCACTTGAATGTGTGCAATGAGTCTGTCACAACTAAACTCAGCAACATTAACAGGGAAGGTTCTGAATCAGTTTCTGAAAAATCACACAGACTACAGGAAACACATGTCCCACTCAGGGATAAGAAAAAATGCCCAAATGCCCAGATGTGAGACAGACAACATGAGATACAGACACTAAAATGAGTCACAGACCAAACAGGAGAAGAGACTGACAACAGCCTAGGAAAAGAAAGGGGGGAGGGGGCGTGTGATGGACAAGAAGACATGTGGCTGTTAGTCTGCAGAGCACACAGCAGTGGAGACATTGAGAATGAACATAGATTTCTTCTCCAAAAAGGAAAATTCCGCTAATTTTCCACAGTGTGGATGCAGAGGCCATGGGATTTTGGTAGGCAGTGTGTGAGTGGCAGAAGATGATAAGGGGCAGGTGTCACCCAGGGAAAAGGCAGAAGCAAATACATAAAATGAGCATACTTGTCCTAAACCATACAAGCTGATTTATCACACTTTATTTCACCAAGCAGTGAGAATGCAGGAAGTTACTTTGTGAGAGGTAGCCTTTTTGTCTTCCTGATTCTTAAGCAGCAGGTAAATCAAGAGCTGCCCGAGCTTGGCTTTGAGATCCAAAACACGAGTAAAAAGCTGAGGATGCTCGCCTGCATCTGCAATCCCAGCAAAACACAGAGTAAAACAGTCAGTGGAGACAGAAGAATGGGTCAGAAGATATCAGGCCAGCTAGCCCATGGTGTAGCAGAAACAAGAAAGAGGCTGTTTGCACCAAGTGTAAAGGTAGACATTGCTTCAGAAATTTGTCCTCTGACATCCACAAGTGTTTGGTGGCACCAGTGTGTGCCTGTACACTCTCACACAGCTAAAAATAAACACAAACATTTTCAGTGATATCTGCTCCACCCATCTGGTCCTCCCTGTTCCTGTACTGGAGTCACAGGGCAGGTTAGTGATCAAGAGTCTAGGAAATTGCACCCTCTCCTGTAAGGTTCAGCTGCCAATGAGTGTTCATGTAAGTCTTGATCTCAAGGATGTTGACTTACCCCAGTATTGGGGTCTGTTATGGAAGAGGTAAGGGCTACCTTAACTGTGAAGAACAGAGTGGTTTTCCGACAAGATCATAAGGTGGAGTTCACTGACTGGTCTTCTAGGGAAGGACTGGATCATGAGGGAGGTAACATAGAGATTCTACTCTGGCCTGTAGAGCCTTAATACCCCAACCTGATGTCCTTGATGTGAGGCCCATCTGGTCTGTGTGGACATTGAGGGGTCTAGGGTAAAATGTAGAGGTGTGCGCCACCTGCTGTGAAACTTGGGAAAGCCTGTGGAGACTGGGACAGTTTCCCATCTGTCAAAGACAAGAGCATTCATTTAGCTTTGTTAACCTGAGGGTTTCAGAGGACATGGGTTGGAAAGCCCCAGCATTCTCATGGGCCTAGGGATGATAGCATGGAAATTTCAGGGATCTGTCCCACCATATGCTGCCCAGGGAATCCAACTTGCTAGAGCTCTCATGAGGGCCCACAGGGATGATGAAAATGTCTAACGGAAGCTTTAGTTAGACAAATTTTATTTTTTATGTCAGAATACATACAGTTAAAAATGAGACTCATCACCTTCAAGCCTTTGCAAGGCTGATGCCATGTTTCCTGTACTGCGAGCTCTGAACAGAGTTCTAAGTATTCAACTTTTAAATGATTTCCTTTCTAGTTAATACATGTAAGACCAGGGCTATCTGCTATCCTGTTACCCAATGACCATCTTTCTGTAGACCAGCAGGAAGATCAGGAAGGCCAAATCCAGGAAGATAGTCACACCCCTCCAGCCATTCCTGTAGGATTTCTGCCATTCCCAAAGCCCAGTTAGCAGCATAGTGTGCAGAAATAATCCTATAAAATAAGCAGAATCTCAGGGGTTAAGGGTTTGTTAACTAACTGTAGCAAACGAATCAAAACAGCCAGTTCCACTCCATGGGCTGAGGGAAGTAACACTCTTAAAACTGTTAGTTAAGGATACTACTACACAGCAAGGATCAAATCCATGTAATTGTTGACATCCAGTCCTCCCCTGATTTACTAATTGAGCAAGAGGAGTGAGGTAAGAAAGCAGCATTTTATGGCCCTTATGTTATACATGAATCTATTCCAAAGTTTATCCTTGTGTGATGTAATACATGTAGGAGACAATTTAGTGGGGAAAATAAGGGAGTTCAAAGGCAGTGAAAGATCCACATACTACACAGATGCTTCTTTTAGCCTGGATTCTTTTCTTGCTTCACAAGGTAATCTGAGAGGACTATCCAAAGCCATCACTCCTTCTAGAGTGTAAATAGATTACTTATATTGAAAACAGCAAGCCCAGCTCATGAGCCCATGGTGGATTTGGGAGCCAAATTTCCTCTCCCTGCTAGGCCCAAGCTTGCCTAGGTTAGACATTTAGTTTTCAATGGGTTCTCTTCAGGAAGTGGAGAGAATTCAAGATCAGATTGAATATCAAATTCCTCACCCCATGCTTCAGTGTCAGTTTTAGTCACTGGTGGAGTGTGTTTAAAGGAGGCTCCAGTAAAGGAGATGAGGCAGTTGCCAGCAACATAGTCATTGGTGGCC